GAGGAGGAGGAGGAGGAGGGGAGAAGGAAGAGGAGCAGGAGGAGGAGGAGGAGGAGGAGGAGGAAGAGGAGGAACAGGAGAAGGTGGATGAGGACTATGACGCGGGCGACGTAGATGATGATGATGATGATGATGATGATGATGAGGAGGAGGAGGAGGAGGAGGATGGGGAAAGGTAGAAGGCAGAAGCCGGAGAGGATGAGGATGAGGATGCGAGGGAGAATGAGGATACGGATGATGAGGATGATGAGGATGCTGAGGATGATGAGGATGGCGATGAGGATGGTGATGGTGATGGTAATGGTGATGGAGAGGGTGATGGTGATGGTGATGCTGATGAGGATGATGACGATTGCGATGGTGAGGGTGAGGGTGAGGGTGAGGGTGATGAGGATCATGATGATGCTGATGATGATAGTGCTGAGGTCTATGATGATGATGATGATGATGATGATGATGATGATGATGATGGTGATACTGATGCTGATATGTTTGGTGATGTTGGTGATTATGGTGTTGATGCTGATGGTGATGGTGATGCTGATGCTGATGATGCTGCTGCTGATGATGATGACGAGGAGGAGGAGGACACGGATTATGATGGTGATGCTGGTGGTGGTGATGCGTCTGGTCATGATATTGATGATATTGATGCTGATGATGTTGATGATGCTGCTGACGATGACGATGGTGATCATGATGGTGACGCTGATGCCAATCCTGATGTTGATGCTGATGGTGGTGGTGATGCTGTAGAGGAAGATGGTATGGTTGTTGGTGTTGCTGCTGCTGCTGTTGTTGTTGTTGTAATGATTGTACTTTTGAATTGAAGTGCTTCTCTCGGGCCTCCCCCCCGGTCTTTCACAAGAGTGAGGTGTCACCAAACTGTATTGTTGGGCCCCGATTTACAAGAACAGCGGTTCCCGCCTGATACTTCCTCTCACTGTATTCCCAAGTCGCGCTCTCGCGCTCGATCTCCTGACAATTTATGGAGGAATCGCGGTCTCGCGTGGGACTTCATCGAATTATTGGGACGCTGCGCCCTCGACACTCAGGAATCATGCTCTCGCTGTGAATTTCTTCACGGTTTATTTGAGAGTCGCGCTATCGCTCGAGACTTTCTCGCGACTCATGCGGACGCACGCTTCAGCAACCCGCCTGCCCCTGGTCCCTTCCTTCCATTCGTCCTCTCTTCCCCTGCCTCAGGGGCTGCACGAAATACACGTTGCCGGTAAGGGAGATACGCCCCTAAGGGGGTTCGATCGAAGACGAAGGGGGCTGGTATCAGGGGTTGGGGACATGCGTTTTGAATTGCATGCGGGCAGAAAAGACCGAGCAGTCTTACATTTACTGTTGTTATTGTTGTTGTTCTGGTTGGTCTTTGTTGCTGTTGTTCCTTTTGTAGCTGCTGCTGCTGCATTTGTTGTTGTGGTTGTAGCTGCTGCTGCTGCAATTATGGTTGTTGTTGATGACGAAGCAATTGCGGTTGATTATGGTGATGATGTTGATGATGGTGATGATGATGACGATGCCGATGATGATGGTGACGCTGATGGCGATGCTGATGCTGACGCTGATGGTGGTGGTGATGCTGCAGATGAAGATGTTATGATTGTTGTTGTTGTTGTTGTTGCTGTTGTTGTTGTTGTTGTTGTTGTTGTTGTTGTCGTAGTTGTTGCTGTTGTGGTTGTGGTTGTTGTTGTTAATGCTAATGTTGTTGTTGCTGCTGTTGTTGTTGCTGCTGCTGTTGTTGTTGTTGTTGCACTCTCACTCGTGAAGAATACTTTTTGTTGATTCCCCCCTCCAGGGCACATGGTGCTTTTTCAATTGAAGTGCCCTTCCCAGGGCTCGCACCCTGTTTTTTTACCAGGGAAGGTCCTAGGTCTCAGAATTGTGTCGTTGGCCCCCAGTTTACAACAACAGCAACGGCTGCCGCGTCACAGTTCCTCATTCCCAAATCGCCTCCTCACAGTTTATGCAGACATCGCGCTCTCGACACTCAGGAATCACGCTTGCTGTGGATTTCCTGACGATTTGTTTTGGAGGATCGCGCTATCGCTCGAGACTTCCTCGCGATTCATGCAGGACGCACGCTTCAGCAACCCGCATGATCGACCTGGCCGCCTGGGCTCGCCTTTCCGACACGCCTGTTAGGGTCTACCCGCCCGATCTGCCCGTCTGGTTCTGCCACGTGTTTGCTGCTCCTAGCCCCCCACCCCTCCCCCATGTTCCTTCCTTTCATCCGTCCTTCCTTCCCCTGCCTCAAGGGTTGCACGAAATACATGTTTCCAGTAAGGGAGATGTGCCCCCGATCGAAGACGAAGAGGGCGGGTATCGAGGGTTTGAGATATGCGTGTTGAATGGCATGCGGGCAGGTCAGTGCGAGCAGTCTCAAATTAACTGCTGCATTTGTTGTTATTGTTGTTGTTGTTGTTGTTGTTGTGGTTGTTAATGTTGTTGTTGCTGTTATTGTTGTTGTTGTTGTGGTTGTTGTTGTTGTTGTTGTTGTTGTTGTTGTTATGGTTGTGGTTGTTGTTGTTGTTGTTGTCATTGTTGCTGCTGCTGCTGCTGTTGTTGTTGAGTTCTCATTCCTGAATAATTATTGTTGACCCCCCGCCTGGTGCACATTGTTTTTTGTTCGATTGAAGTGCCCTTCCTGGGGCTCGCACCCGTTTTTTTATCAGGGAAAGTTTTGAGGGTGAAATTGTGTCGATGGCCTCCGGTTTACAACAACGACGGCTCCCGCCCGATATTCTTCACAATTTATTGAAGAATCGCGCTCTCGTTTTGGACTTTCTTTCAATGTACCACCGGATCGCGGCTCCCGCTCAATATTTCCTTACAATTTATTGAAGAATCGCGCTCTCGCTTGGGACTTCCTCGCAACTTACCACCGAATCGCGGCTCCTGCCTGATACTTCCTCACAATTTATTTAGATGCCGCTCCTCGACGCCAGGAATGGCGCTCACGCTACATATTGCTTGGCGATTCAAGCAGATTTTACGCTTCAGCGACCCGCCCGCTCGACCCGCCCGTCTGGGCCTGCCCGCCCGACCAGCTCGTCAGGGACTGCAGTCGCCGCTCGCTGCCCTTCGCTGCCTTCGATGCCCCTCGCTGCCCGTACTGGTTCCGCGGTCGCCTTCGCTCGCTGCCCTTCGTGGCCCCGTTGCTGCCCTCAGTGGCCCCGTCGCTGCCCATTGTGTTCCCGCATTATATGCTCTTCGTGCCCCCCGCTCGCAGTCGCCCGTCGTGGCCCCATACGCATGCCCTTCGTGGCCCCGCTGTCGCCCTTCGTGGCCCTCTCGCTGCCCTTCGTGGCCCCTTTGCTGCCCTCAGTGGCCTCGCGGTCGCCCTTTTGTGGCCCCATGGAAGACTGCCCTTCGTTTCGTTCTCAAGGGCTTCACCAACCACACGTGGCAGGGAATGAATATACCCTCCAAAAGGGGGTACGATCGAAGACGAAAAGGGCGGGCTCCCAGGGTTTAGGAAGTTCTTTTTGAATGACACTCGAGCAGATCAGAGTGAGCAGTCTTAAAATGATATTGAACTCTCATTTCTGAAGCATAATTATGCCTTTCCTGGGGCCCGCACCCTGTTTTGTATAAGGGAAAGTCTTGAGCGTCAAACTGTGTCGTTGGCCCCCGGTTTACAACAACAGCGGCTCCCGCCTGAGATTTCCTCGCAATTTAGCCAGGACCCCCGCCCCCGCCCGAGACTTCCTCGCGTTTTATTCAGGAATCTCTCGCTTGGGACTTCCTTAGAGTTTATTCTCCCAGCGCTCTGGAGTCGCGCTCTCGCTGCAGACGTGCTTGCAATGTACTGAAGAACAGCGCCCTTGCGTTGGAATTTCATGCAATTTACTCAAACGCCGCGCTCCCGACACCCAGGCACCCAGGAGTCGCGTTCACGCTTAGGACTCCCTCACAGATTACATAGGAATCGGGATCTCGCTGCCCTTCGTGGCCCCGTTGCAGCCCTTCGTGGCCCCCTCGCTTTGTTTCGTGGCCCCGTTGCAGCCCTTCGTGGCCCCTCGCTGCCCTTCGTGGCCCCCGCTCGTTCGCGCCCGTGGTGGCCCCATATGCATGTGTCCTCCGTGGCCCAGTTGCTACCCTCAGTGGCCCCATCGTTGCCTTCTGTGGCCCCGCATTATCTGCCATTCGTGGCCCCCGCTCGTTCGCGCTCTTCGTGGCCCCATACGCATTCCCTTCGTGTCCCCGCTGTTGGCCTTCGTGGCCTACTTCGTGTCCTTGTGGCCCTGCTGTCGTTCTCTTTCGCTCTCGCTTTCGCTCGTCGCCGTCATCGTCGACGTCGTCGTCGTCGCCGTCGTCGTCAACGTCGTCGTCGTCGTCGTCGTCGTGGTCGGTCCCCTGTCCGTCCCTCTTGGGGTCGGGTCGACGTTCCGCGGCCGCCCCGCCGATCAGCGCTGCCGCTGGCCAGGCCGACGGTCCGCGGCCGCCCCGCCGCTTGCCGGGCCCCGCTTGCAGGGAAGAAAAGTATGCCCCCCAAAAGGGGTTCGATCGAAGACGAAGAGGGCGGGTATTGATGGTTTGGGAAATAGGCGTTATTGGACACTCGAGCAGATCAGGGCGAACAGTCTTAAACTGATTGTTGTTGTTGTTGTTGTTGTTGTTGTTGTTGTTGTTGTTGCTGTTATTGATTTTGGATGTTGACGGACACGTGCTTTCGGAATTCCGGGGGTTTCTGAGGACCTCCTGAGGATTCCTGAGGATTCCTCAGGATGGCTTGGGATTCCCACAAGATTCCTGGAGGATTTCTGAATGATTCCGGAAGGATTCCCGACGGATTCCTGACGGATGCCTCAAGGATTCAGAAAGCATATCCGATGGCTTCCTGAGGGGTTCAGTGGGATTCCGTTCTGTGTTTTTTTCCAAG